GAACTAAAAACCCATACATTAGATATACATATAGGTAATAAATAATGTCATTCTTTTAGTCAGGCGCGGATACAAGGGGGGGGTAATAGGGTAATTCCCCCCCCCCCTCGAGCTACTCGAACAAATCCAGGAATTTACTAAATTGTAATCTAAAAATAACGAGATTTTACAAGAAAGCAAAAAAAGATAAGATGACTGTGACGAATGAAGAATAGAGAAGCACAGGCTGGCGTACAGTATTTTTTGTTATTTTTTAAATAAACGATCGATTTTTTGATAAAATTATGTACCCCCCCTAAATCTTCCCAGATCCGCGCCTGCTTTTAGTACCTATTTTTTAGGCTATTATGTTATTGTTTTAGCCTTATATTATTATTCTACTCTTCACTCAGTAGTCTGTGATCTGTGAAGTGTATTATAGATTTACTTTGTCTGATGTCACGGTTTTTGTCTGCACGATAATTCAAAAACGAAAAATGATATCACTTGAAAATTTTAAGCAAAACACAAGTTCTATAAGGAGACAAGTCTATTGTTTTTGAAAAAATCTGATTAAAAATAGGGGGATAGGATGAGTTGAAACTAAAAATTAACATGAAATGTTTAGTCAAAATGAAATTCTATGAGAAGAGATAAAGCCTACTGATTCTGAAAAAATTTTAATAAATTGGGGAGTTAAGGAGGGTTAAAATATTAAAAAAAAAATCTAACTCAAAAACGAAAAATGATATTAACTTTAAATTTTTAGCAAACATCAAGCTCTATAAGGAGAAGAAGCCTTTTAGTTAAAAAAAAAATCTGATTAAAAATGGGGGTTTAAGTGGTGTTGAAAAAAATAATCATAAATCAAAAATGAAAAGCGATATCAACATGAAATTTTTAGTAGAAATCAACCTCTCTAAGGAGATAAGGCCTATTGATTGTGAAAAAAATCTGATAGAAAATGGGTGTTAAGGGGGCCTGTTAAACTGTAAAAATTATAATTTAGAATGCCCACTATATATCTTCATTCTAGTTTGTACCTGTGTATTGTGATGGGACTGATTTTATAAAATACACATTTTAGTTCACTTGTTTTTTTTTCGATAAAAGGTATTTAAAAATATATTATTTTATTTAACATGTGTGACAAATTGTGAAAATGATTAAATTTACAATAAAAACTGAAAAATTGTAGGTAAGTTTTATATAACAATATTTTTCACACAAAAATCAATGTCAAGCTTTCTACATAACAATAAGAAAAGTCAGTTGACTAACTAATAATGTTTATAGATAATTTTCAACGTATTAAAAACAAAACAAATATTATAACAACTAAAATATTCATTTATTCATTGATTAATAGTTGTAGTGCTTAAAAACAGTATGATATTAATAATAATAATAACTACACTTTTAAAAAGTTTTGGACTGAATTTTCAAATGATAAAATTATTGGAAAAAGTGAACACCCAGTTTAAATTACGACGAGCCGCTACTGGATGGTGGTAAGGTCAGCGCGCTTGCCCTCCATGCGAAAGGACCGAGTTCGAATTTCGGCAAGAGGACAAATTAAATTAATTTTTTTTTCTTGTTTATTTTATTTTATAAATTAGTAAAAGTCATAAATTATATTTAAATTAGGTCTTTTATCTTAATAATATTTTAATATTTGTAGATTTTCGTTAGTGGGTCGTAGAAAAAATATACTGTACAACTAGAGTGGATTGTCCATATCCACTCTTGTTGCACAAACTACTATTCTATGAAGAGAAATGAGGGGTGGGGAAAATTTAATAAAAATTCATTAAAAATCCATTTAAAAATAAATTTTCCTATACATCTTAAAAATATTAACAAATTTGCCTAAAACGGGGATGAGAGGGTCAAATTATTTTTCCTAATAAATATAAAATATAATTTGGCACTAATTTTATTTCAACACTTCGTTTTCTTCACAGCAAATTAGTAGTTAAATGGATTTTTAATGAACTTTTATTTAATTTGACCCTCTCATCCCCTGTCTAAGCGATTTTGTTATTTATTTAAAGTATATTTTATATTTATTATTAATTTGGCATTAACTTTATTTCATTACTTCATTTTTTTCATGGGAAAATTAATTTTTAAATGGATTTTTATTTAATTTTACCTTCTCATCCCCTTCCTAAGCGATTTGGCTAATTTGTTTAAGATGCATTTCATAGAAAAATTAATTTTTAATTGAATTTTCAATGGGTTTTTATTTAGCTTGATGAAGGGGTAAAATGAAATAAAAATTCATTAAAAATCCATTTAAAAATTAATTTTCCTATGAAGGAAACAAGGTATTGAAATAACAGTGCTAAAATGTTAATAAATATAAAATAACTCTTAGAAAAATGTACAAAATCGCTTGAGCTTCCTTAGCGATTTTTCTAAGAGTTATTTTATTTTTATTAACATTTTAGCACTGTTATTTCAATACTTCGTTTTATTCATAGGACAATTAATTTTGAAAAGGATTTTTAATTAATTTTTATTCCATTTTACCCCTTCATCCTCTCTCTAACGACTTTTGATTCCTAACAGTTTAGTAGTAATTTTATTTCAGTACACTGTTCTCTCCTAGAAAAATACATTTTGACGCCACTGGCCGTTCGTGTCTTTCCAGTAAACTGGATGCTACGTATAAAAGTTTAATATGTATTGTTGTCGTAATTTGCAAAAACCCTATATTAATATATAATAAACGTTTGTTTTAATATTATTAAATAATTGTAAGCTTTCTAATCCTTAACTGTAACGCCACTGGTAATTTTTAACTTTGTAAAAACTCATCTTTTTGTTTCCCTACTTTATCGTTATCGTGTAAAACCAAATCATTATTTGGAATACACCTTCACATGCAAGATAAGGTCTCTGTTATTTTAAAACATTTTAAATTGTAATCGTCCCCATGTTTTATTAAATTTTGATTGCACCCGAAGATGGAAAATTTTTCCGAAACATACCTATGTAGTGCTGTGCTAAACGATAGAAAATAAAAACATGCCCGAATAAACCAAGGAATTTTTTATTTGTAAGAAAATATATTGACTTAGCTTAAATTTGGTAGTATGCTAAAAATAATAATGATAGTATTCTTTATAAAACGAATTTAGGTGACAGGGCTACGGTCGATATTAGGTCCAGTAATTTTATCACTTTTTCCATAAAGATTAAGTAAAACCATAATATTTTTACACTTTTTAATCTTCTATAAGTGTGCACTAACCTAATTAAAGTAACAAATATTATTAAAACACATTTGTAAGCTAAAAAATTAAGAATTTGCATTTATTCACTACATTTTAACGTAGACATATTGTTTTTAATTTTTTCGATTTGACAGTCACACTTAGAGCGCCTAATAACGTTCTATATTATTTTTTATGAATAATATGACAACTGATATTTTTATTTCTATAAATGTGGAGTTGTCAAACATAGTAAAAGAACGTACATAACAGGAATGACAGTGGCTGTTTTTTCAATAGTTCCAAGCCAAATGATAAAACCAGAATATAAATGTGTTTATACGAGACTTTTCATTTCAATTATTCAATTTAAGCTGTGTCCAGGCCGTTGGAGTCTATGCCGGTCGGCATATCCAGGTATGGGTTGATGTTTTTTGGTGGCGAAGCCGCCACTCTACGACTTATCGTAGGGTGGCGGCGAAGCGAAGTCGTTGCTTCGTTTTCTTGTTGCATATTTATGGATCGGTATGCTAGGGTGACCAGACGTCAGGATAAAGCCGGACATGTCCGGCTTTTTCGCTTAAATGAAAACGTCAGGCCGGCTTTTTGTCGTGTCCGGCTTTTTATCAATCGAAAATTCTAAATAACCAGAAACGCACATTATCATTATTCCTGGTTCCGACTTTCTCAAGCTGGCAAGTGCGCAGTGGACTAAAGAAAGAAACCGTTTATCTATCTATCGAATCAATAAAAAGCCCCATTTAATGTTAAAATTTAATTTAAAAACGTTTTGTGAGGAATATTATAATTATTTGATGGACAATCCCAATATTTTAAAAGAAATTGGTTCTTCTGAAAAGTATAAGTAGTTTTTACCTAAGTAAAAAATGTTACATTTTTTTATATAAATATATTTGTTAAATGTCAGGTTTTTTTATTAAAAATCAGGCTTTTTGTGTCCTGGTTGTCCTACTTTTCTGCAAATAAATCTGGTCACCCTAGGTATGCGCAACACAATTTTCCATTATCTACTAATTTTATCACAATCCGGCAACGTTGTAATTATATTTTTTAAATTTGACAGAAACCATCGAGTTTCTATGTTTACAGTCATCAAAATGCTGATTTTTATAGAAATTAAATAATTTTTTTTGGCTTAAATAATGCATTTACTGCAATTTTTTATTTAAAATATGCTCTTTCTGATAAAAAATAAATTTCTTTAAAATTTTACTGGACCTAAAGTTGACCGTACCCGGTAACAGGTCTAATCCCTTTTTGTAAGTACCTATATTTATAACATATTTTTTTTTATAAAAGGTTTATGAAATGTAAGAATGGGCCCCATAACCCCCTCCTTGAAGACGACTTTACAAAGAACATTAGTTTTTCATTTGTTGCATTAAAACGTTATATAATTATACTCAAGAAAATTTTGTAGTTTATAAGAGGTGCCTGTAATTACCTATATCACGAAAACATAAAAAAATGTACCTAGTTAATTGTTTAATTAGAATTTATAAATTAAATCAAAACATCCTATACCTATTCTAAATGTGTGACAGTGTGAGTAAAATAAAGGCATTTTCACTACATTGCTCTCTCTGTACCTGAATTTAAAGGGTAGGCAGATGTAAGACAAAATGTTCAAAATTTCTTGTCGATTTTAACGTACGTCGTAGGTACGTACATATTGGAATTTCCAATCCACCGATTCCACGTTCGAAATCAACCCGATTCTCCGCATTCCATTTCAGCCCAGACCCGCTCATTTAAACATTTTACTAGAGCTAAAATACACTGCCATCATCTGCTGCGGCGCGCGCAATCCGTGACGTAGCGACCGCTGCTTATTGGTCTTCCTTACGACGTGACGTCACCGGTGTAACGATTACCGAACCGTACCCCGACTTCCCCTCGCGGCCCCACGCCTCACCGCTCCCAACGTTAACCGCTTGAAACGTTTGCCAGTGCATACCGAGAATTCAGCCGATACATAACAGAAAATCGCGAAAGTTCTATCTCGTGTTACCGTTATGGTGTAAGTGACTCGGGCGTGCAAGTAACCCAGTGACAATTTTTATTTTTTTTTTGTGTGCTTCATGGTTAAGATGTCTGTGATGCAGATGCAGCAGGCCAAGCGGCAGCAGTGTTACCTTTGCGACCTACCCAGAATGCCGTGGGCAATGGTGCACGATTTCACTGAAGCAGTATGCAGAGGGTGCGTAAATTACGAAGGAGCAGACAGGATAGAAATCGTTCTTGAAACGGCGCGACAAATGAAACGAGCGCATGGATTCCAAGAGCAACGCTCCAGCGGCCATGCTACTAAATCCCACAGGAGTAGCGCTTCTCACGAACATCAAAACGGGGAAGTAGTTGCTTCCTCCAGTAGACAACAAAGTGCGCCTCATCACACTACCACCTACAATCTTCACCACTCTAGATCCAATATGATGGCTGAATACCAAGCAGGACAACAACAGCAACAACAACAACAACCCCCTCCACCTCCAAGAGGTAGGACTCAATTGGAGGCTGCTCCAGAGCATGATATCGTGCCTAGAACTGCTGTCAGGCTGCCCACAGTAGCGCATATAGCTGCACATCATCAATTACAAACTCATCACCATTCTAGCAATGGAAGACCTAGCGCTATGCCTTCGCAAGGTATCAAAAGAGGTTTGTCTGCTACGGATGACGATGGGCATCATCACTCCAATGGGGATATCAGTGGGAGTAAAAGGATGATGTCTGTTGAAGAGCATAGTAATGCTGTGAGACCACCTTTGACTAGAGGTGATTCACTTCCAGCCGTGTCTTTAGCGCAACCGTTTGTAATTTCTACTGAAAGGACTTTTAAGCAGGAGAAACATCCCATTAGGACAGCTTCGTTCGATGCTGGGACTGCATTTAAACCAAGTGGTATGGAAAGTTTTATTTATATTTTAGAATAGACGATTACGCTGATTCTGTACTAAATAGTTGTTGGTTGAAGTACCCTTAATTGAAAAAAATTTCTAACGACTTTAATGCAAGTTAAATATCTTCTCTAATGATAGAAATACACGTTAGGCACTATTATAGGACAATTGAGGGCACAACGATAAAACAAGCCATTCTAAACGTGTGATTTCCTGTTTCTGCATATAACCCTTGTTGAAACAATGTATTCCATAAAATAAGAAATAATATAAAACCACAATCCTGATAGAAGTATCTGTCACCTTTGACATCAAAGCTACCTACAATGTTCAGGTAACAATGTTGATGAAAAAGTAACGTCTTAATGTCAGGAGTTCTATAGTACTCTCCCCAGTTGAAACAATGTATTTTGTAAAATAAGAACAAACAATAGTATATAAATGTGAAGTGAGTCCAGTCTACCCTTTCATCATTCACATCAAAATTACCTATAGGTATCAATGTTTAGGTAGGTTGATGCAAAGGTCGTTACGAATAGTAACAAATGCCTACAATACATTGAGGTAGAAGTAACTCCATGCTACAATATCACTTTAAGACGTGTTTTGCGCAATTATCCCCATATGAACTAATTATGTATGTCATTATTCTAACCATCAGAAAAGAGGCAGAACGGGTTGAAGGCGATCGTTATTAAAATTTGAGAAAAACGACTTTGTTCACTAGATGTAGCCAGTAGCGGTTTAAGATTATATTTAGAAGAATTTTGAATATTTGGAATCAAATTTGTACACCTTTCCCCAGGTTTATAGAAAAAATAGCATTTTCTTTAGTTTTAGGATAAATTGTGGTACATTAAAGTTATTTAATGTCAAATTATGGGAGAGTTTTTACAGAACGCATTTGAGTTTCATTAGATTACGTGTTTTATAATGAAATCGGGGAAACTATGCCACTTTGTCGTCCAACTTTTATTTTATTGTAGTTAAGTTTGCCATTAGAAAACCAGACATTCCCTTAAGTACTGAATATTTGTGTTTATTACGCAATTTCCAAGAATTAAACGATATTGTAGCCAATTCTGGTGGATTTAAATCGATAATTAACTAATATTTATGAAAATAGAAACTATCCTTTATGCCTTATCAAAAATAGCTAGCTTAATTTGTATCCAAAACAAGGAAAGTCAACTTGTGCATTTAAAGAATTCCAGTTTACTGTATATTTACGTTATCTAATCTCGTAAAAGGCCTTCAAGTTCTTATCGTATTCCAGACAGCCAATGGCAACCGTAGCTAACAATAGTTGTTATTTATCAACATTTTAAAAGGATATTAAGTACATAGTAGTCATGAATATCCCATTTGTTTATAACCGACATCCTACCGGATGTATAAAGTGTGCGTTGGAATATCGAAAAGTTGCGTTCAGTTGCCGCGATATGGGAAACAATAATTCGATAATTCTGAACGCAGCGTCATCGGCGTGATGACGTATTTGGAGTATCGTAGTCTGGGACTCAATACGCATGAATATATGAATAATTATGAATATAAATAGATTTTTTTTCAATTTAATAAGTGGACGAAGAATAAGTGTATGGGTTTCTACTGTCAAAGCACTAGGTACAAACAAAAGTTTTTTGATAATTTTTATTTATTCGGAAGACATAAGTCTGAATTTTAATTTCAATAACTGAATCCTGATTGATATTAGTTCCCGTCTCGGTTCTCGTATTAGTTATGAGCTTATATCATAAAAATATATTTTAGACGCTGCTTCCAAATTAAAGAACAAGTTCACCTCTGGTCCTGATAAAATTCTGTCATTTCTTTTAAAGGATTGTATCAGAATTTTAGCATATATTTGGAAGAAACTTTGTAATTTAATTTTGAAAATCTCAACTTTTCCTGATCCTTGAAAAGTAGCTAAAGTTTGCCCCATACACAAGTCTCAAAATCGTAATGCCATCAATAACGATAGGCCCATACCTACAGCATAGATCATGGATTTAATCTTATACATCCTTATCTATCGAACTACAACAAGAGGATAATTACCCCCCTCCCCCGAGCTTCTCCAAGAAATCCTGGAATTTATTATATTGTAACGTCGGGATTTTATAAGAAAGCAAAAATTATTTTGAAATATTTATGTTGCACCAGTGGGGTCTCTCAGGGGTTCAATCTAGATCCTCTGTAATTTTTAATATTTATCAACGATTATTATGATTCAACCCATATTAATACACTGATGTTGGCTCATGACTTAAAGGTATACCCATACTAGATGATTGTGTAGCGGCTAAATTATTTACACAATGGATGTCTTAAAAATCATATTTTCCTGAATATCAATAAATGTAAAGTCACATCATTTTAATCAAGTTGTTTATGAGTTTAAACAAAAACATAAGTGAATATGAGAATGACCATGCCTTATTTGAAGTGTAGGTACTATTAAAAACTCCAGTTTGTGAATAAACTGAATTTATTTTAAAAGAAAGAAGCTTTAGAAATCATTATAGAACTAATTCAAGTTTAAGAATATGTACGTCTTACAATGGATTCCAGATAGCCGCCTAATTAATCTTAGATCTGACGTAAGCATAGTACAATATCTTTGACTTTGACCTGAAAAACTGGCTATTCTTAACAAGCAAGTTTTTGACGAGTTCATGACTTGCAGGACTCCGATGAGCCGGGAGGCTGGCGGTATGTGGATAACTCTCAGCGACAACTAGAACCAGTAGGTTTTTAGCGAGATGAGAGACAAGTTCTATATTCCCCTGGAGGATGCACAATGGGTCTACTGAGGCCTAAGTGATGTGGAGCAGCCCACTCTACCCCCACTTTATAGTGAAAGAGAGAGTACAATACCTTTAAAGTGCCCAATACAGCGAGTTTCGAGCTGAAGAACAAAAATAACTTCAACACGAGTCGAAAGTGACGTCCAAATCAACAAATGTTAAATTTAAGAGTGTCAAGTTTTTATCACTGTAATTCTCAATTCGTCAAAAATATGTTACATCTAGTGTAGCCAATGGGTGGAGAATTCTACGCTTGCGCGGAGAATTTGAGAAGGTTCGAAAAATTTAGCGGAGAATATAATTTTTTCAAATACTTCAAATTCCCTAGGATAAATAAAGAATTTAAAGCGTAATTGCCGAACTCGGACCGACGTTTACAGATGACGATTGACTAGTGTCAGGTGAATTTTTCCTTTTATAAGAAAATCGCTAGTTATTTTCCTGGGTGGAAAATTTCGTGAGTTTTCGAAGAATTTAGTTATCTCTTAGCAGATAATCGAGAAAAAGCTTGTGTCAACGGACAGTGGGCACAGATTACTTCCCTGAGGAACTACAGATGTCGATAAATATTCAGCAAACTTGATAACCACTGACGTCTATTATTTAGAAATAAATAACTTAATTAGAACTGACGATAAAGCATACAGAAATAATGAGAGTTTTGGCAACGAATTAATCATTTTTGTCAATTGGTTGTTATTATTGCCATTATAAAAAGTCTATTAGTATTGTAACTTACCCATCTAACTTGAAAGACTTAAATGTATTTATAAAAAACATATGGTGTGACGGTGTCCAATTTATTGAAAAAATTTTTGAATCAACCAATACTTAGATTAAATTTACTTAAAAAGTTTGTATACATATAAATTGCATATAAAATTATTTAAAATAAACAAAAATGTGAAGATATTTTATGAATACGAAAACTGTAGATGGAGTTCAAAGACCTAAATAGATGTCAAATAAAAACGAATTAACGGAATTCAATGTAACCTATGTTTATTTGAAAATGCATAATAGCACAGTTTTTATGGCAAAGGTCTATATACAAAGCAGAAAAACAATGAATATTGATACTTTCTTATCTGAATTTTCATTAGATTTTAGTATGACCATTCCGAAAAACCTCGAATACAATACATCATACTTAAAATGTAAATAAGTAAACCATAAGGGATTAACCAATATATATAATTATTGGTGACGGGGAACACGAAGTTACTATAATATAAAACATAGTAAACTGTCAGCATTAAGTGCCCACATTTATTTTTATAAAAAAATTATACTAGATATTAAGTTAGGACAGTTCCTTAAAATTTCATAATAAATATACAAACAACCAAGTTTATGATATAATAAAAAAAAATATTTTAACACTCATATTTTGTTTCATATAAATTTGTTTTTTTTTTTATTTGGGATACTAGCGTCATAAGAACTTATTATAATTAATATAAATACAGAGTTACCTAAATAAATAGGTCGTTTTCTCCCGATAAAGGGTCATCATAATCATCATCAGTTTCCTCACTTCCCACAGAAATAATAATTGGTTCTATTGTTTTATCACAAGACTATACAAACAGAAATGTAAATCTTAACTAAAATAATTTACAATCTGCATAACACTTTCTGCCGATTAGAAATTTTAAACCTTTCTAAGAATTTTAAGGGGCTACTTAAATTGATATTTATTTCTAAATATTTTCTACCTGTAGATATTACATATTTACCTTACTTTTGTTGATTAAAATGACTAGGTATAAAATTTAAGACAAAAATTGAAATAAATTGGTATTTTTAAAAATTTTAGGAAGAAAACCAAAAATTTTATTTTGGAACAAATAATACTAAACATTTTATTTTAGAAATTCTCTGTCACTGATTTATGATGTTGGGGTTTATCTCCTGTGTCATAAAATTCATTCATTTTCAAATAAACTTATAACCTAATTTAAAAAATTTTGGAAAAATAGTTGAATCCATAAATAAGAATTAGTAATGGAAAGTGTCAAAAATGGTGTCATTTGTAATGTAATTTTAAGGGTTTCATTGTATGATGGCAACTCTATCAGTAGGTATGCAACTAACTCTATTTTTCTCATATTCTTAACATTATATCAAATACCATGTTTAAATAATTTTTTTCTACGTTCATGCAAAAAACAAAACTTTGTTGAACTAT